AGTAGTAATGATTGATAATGACATCGATGATGATGGTGATGATGATGACATGACAGTGGTGGAGAAGATAGTGATGATGCTGATGAAAGTAGTAATGATTGATCATGACGTCGAGGATGATATAACATATACACCTGCTTGCAAGAACGTTGACATACGAAAATAGAACATTAGTGGTTTAGTGGGATAGGAATTATATTAAAGAACAAAAGATCACTGAAGCTGAACTTTTTCTTTTGTCTTTTTAATGTGTTCCTTTCTCACTAAATTACTAATGTTCTAATATCGTATGACAACGTTCTTGCAAGTAGGTGTATCTATGTATGTATGTATCGTACCTGATCCATAGTCCACCCATAAGAATATAATGTGGTATGGCATAAGGCAGACAGCATAGGATGCTACAACAATAGCCATCATTTTCAAGACCTTTTTTCTTCTCTTCAAGGCCTGAGGGTCACCCTGTGTCACACCACAAGGCGACGACTTGATCTCCTCCACTGCCCATAACTTGTATATCATGTGTATGTATGCAGGCAAAAGGAATATCAACGGTAACACGTAGATACCAACGAAAAGAAACATTGAGTAGACTTTCTGAAGGACTGCAATCGGCCAATCTTCTGTGCAACCAAATTCCCCTTTGAGATTGTAGGCGCCAAGTTCAGGTAATGCTACAAATAATCCAATGATCCAGGCCAAGGCAATGGCCAGCTTGGCTTGTGCTCGAGACAGAGGTAAGGCCATGGGCATACATATTGCTCTGTATCGCTCCACTGTCATGGCGACCAGGGAGCCGGTTGAAGCAGAGATGTTCATTATTTGAAGAGCTGTGCAACGAGTGGAAAGATATTAATTGCTATTGCAGTATGAGAATAGAGACAACACTAGATTGAACAAATCGTCGAACCGACCAATGGTCATCATGAAGCAGCTTAGAACASCAAATCAACCAACTGGTCGACTACCGACCACCTGACACTGAATAAGTCGACCAMCCAACAGCTAACCGACCAACTGTTGTTACGAGTCAAGTAACACCAAATCAACCAACTCGTCGACTACCGACCAMCTGACACTGAATAAGTCGACCAACCAACAGCTAACCGACCCACRARTCAAGTAACACCAAATCAACCAACTGGTCGACTACCGACCACATAACACTGAATAAGTCGACCAACCAACAGCTTATCAACACTGACCAAAGCAACCGACCAATGATCAATGTTCGACCACCTAAGATGAAATCAATCAACTGATTACCAACAACGCTTTACCAAATATACCATCGGAGCAACATGCTTACTAGGCCAATTATTGTGTGACGAACTGCTGATCTATGGATCAACTACCCACYGACTGAACGACCAGCTGCCATTCAATARGCAAGTATWCCAAGTYGACAACTAAARCAACCAAATYATAAAATTCATRGRGCGGGACGACTGTATTTCACAGAAGTTTAWCATCACTGCATCTTATTTTGAGGTCTTCAATGGCGACCTWTTTTCTGAAGTCTTGTGGTGTCTTGAAKTAGTGAATAAACATAATGAATGGAAGTATGTATGGGWGGGGTGGATGGTTGGATGGATGAATGGGTGGTTGGCTGGACGTCGACTATGGATGCTACAATATYGTAGAAAAAAAACAATTGATGGATTTTTATATTTTTTCCCCAGTTCTCAATTTTTTACTAACTTTTCCTCTTTTTACTGCTGTTCCACGTTGCGCTGGATATACAGGTCACAAAGAAAGCGTAATACCATATCTCTTCGTGCAACGACTCACRCAACAATGCATTGCAATCATACTGTTCCGTCTATATTTACAGTGGTATTTACAGTGGYATTTCAGGTTTATCTTAATCTGTCCAAGCACGCACAATTTAAATCAAACAARCCATCTTTTACCAGGAGCCCCGAGAGATAACACGAGAAAACCGCAAGACGCTAAGACTTGGTGATAAACATCTTTACAGAATGGGGTGGCATCTTATTGTCTCGCGTTCTCATTTATTGACAATTCTTTTCTTGATAATAACTGCTGTTCTTTTGCTGCAAAGATTCATGCTAAACAAGCGATACATCTACTGTGAAACTCTTTCCCAGTGAAACGCTTTTTCATTTGAACTGATGAAATCCTTTTAAGATGTTTGGAATAGAGTTTGACACAGACGTGATGATCTGACGAACAGTTCCTTCAACGAACTAACGCTTGACCTCATGGTGACTACAGCACCATAAAAAGTACAACGAAGTAACGAAAACCATGTCAAACACCATTCTTTTACAGCAACCTCTTTAAGAAAACAGGATACTGTCAGTCATGAATATTCATTTTTGAAGTCGAAGCGATTTTTTATGCCGAGTTGCCTCAAAATTTACGCCTCTTTGAACCGGAATATATATTAAATTTATACTCCTGGAGTCAATTCCTTTAACGTTACTTTTCCATTAACACAAGATTTTGGAGGTAACGTTTCAAGAGGATTCATTTAAGCTTTGATATCGTTATTTCCGCTGGGAGAGATTGAAAACATAAAATTCTAACAAGCTTGATGTTGCAGAAACAGCTATATGTTTTGTAACGCAAAAGCGTGAACGAGTGTTTTTTTGAACTCKAAGCCATTTGATAATATCCTTTCTCAGCAACTATATCTGGAAAAATAACTCGTTCTGAGGTCCTGATAAAAGGGCAGTGGAAATCAATCCTCGCTGTCCTCTCATCATCTGTTGGACGTACTTTTTGTATGGCAGTCGTGGAAGGATCAATTGGAACAATCGGATAAACGCGTTAATCTGATGATGGATTTTAACCATCCCAGAACGAGAGACTGGTACATGTCCGAGAACGAAACGTACAACAGCGGCAAATTCCACCGAGAAATAAACTAAATTTCTGCTAGATGTTTCTGCAGTGTTAGCTTAAAGACACTTTACTGCACAACATCATGTCATTCGGAGGAACTGGGAGTAAATGTCTAAATGTCTTATTATAAAACTCTCACATTGAACGTGTGGGATGTTCCTGTTTTGGTTTTGTGTGTAACGTCAACAACGCCGTGGTGAATGGTGAATGAAGTTCTCATGACGTCATTACCTTGCGTCAGCGACGTCATTTGAACAAAGTACATTTTTTCATAAAAAGATAAAACGAAAATCATTTTGAACATGTGCAGCTGTGCACTATCATCAAATAAATGAAAAATAAATAGTTAAAAAAGTAGAAATATTGACAACTTACTGGGTAGTATTTTACACCACGCCAAACCATAGGGCCAGGATTTCATTTCCCAGTAGATAACAGTGAAGATGATGTTGAAAACACAGACGAAAATATCGCAGATAGCCAGGTTGACCAAGAACATGTTCATTGCTGTCTGCATGCGATGGTTTTTGAATACTACAAGACAGACCAGGCAATTGCCAATTACACCTGGAAGAAATATGTAACAATAAAAGTTAAGATCTGAATCCAAGTAGACACTTCATGTTTCACGTACAAGAACAAAATATTATGGCATAGAGCTTTTTCTATTTACGCACCGAGACAATGGAACACATTCCTTGAGAACATTCAGTAGGCGAAATCATTAGACTCTCTTAAAAAGCTTTTAAAAACATTTCTGTTTGAGAATGACGTTAAATTTTAAAAACAATGGACTATTATTTTACTTATTTTTATTTTTATGATGTTAAATTTTAAAAATATACATTTTACAATTGTATATTTCTATAAGTTTTTTCATTTTTTAAAATCTGTCTCAATATTGTTAATATGTATTTTCTTTTATGCTTTGTAAAGCGTGTTGAGATTTTGTGGAACACGCTACTATTAAGAATTAAAGTTATTATTCTTATAATATTGAACAACTTTATAAATTGTTAGCAATAACAACTATGAAATCATTATTAATATTCGAAAAAAAATAAACTTTTAGCCCAAAGAAACATATTCACATTATTAATATTWTCTTTAAAAGCTGAGCCTGAAGCGAGAGCTTATCTTCAGTCAATTCAATCGCAAGGTGATTAAAAAAGCCATCTCATTGTTTTGAGGGAAGTAACTTCCTTTCCGGACGTAATATAAATTCGTTATCAWGAAGAATTGTTAAATAAATGAGTAATCTAAAAGGTTAGGCCGAGAATCTTTATCTGGGGAATTTCCTTTTTTTAGAAACGGATATAATTAGTCATAACTGTGGCTCGATGTTTTTCTTATTCATACCACAAAACGATTCACTTGAACACTGTTATACAACCTGATGTTTGTTTTTAATATTAAGACTCGAGCAGGAAACCAGAAAAAGCTAATGATGGCAGCTCATAATTGTTTTTCTCTCCCTCCGCAAAACCTAATATGCTAAAGGATAATTCAGTGTGTGAGTTAGCCGTGACAGGACTTTCATTAACCCAGAGGTCGGTTTCAGGGTTCGATCTGTGAGTTAGCCATGCCCTGACATAGATCAGCCCAGAGCTTGTTCAAGGGTTCAATCTGTGAGATAGCCATGCCCTGACTTAGATCAGCCCATAGGTTGTTTCAGGGTTCGATCTGTGAGTTAGCCATGCCCTGACTTAGATCAGCCTATAGGTTGTTTCAGGGTTCGATCTGTGAGTTAGCCGTGCCCTGACTTAGATCAGCCCAGAGCTTGTTCAAGGGTTCAATCTGTGAGTTAGCCATACCCTGCCTTAGATCAGCCAAGAGATTGTTTCAGGGTTCGATCTGTGAGTTAGCCAAACCCTGACTTAGATCAGCCAAGAGGTTGTGTCAGGGTCCAAAAATTGAAGGCTTTTACAAATATTGTTAGACGCGATTGTTTGAAATCAAGCAACAATGAAAAAATAATAATGAATAAATAAATGAATGGGTATATGTTCGCAAAATGTTTAAACTGAATGAGCAATTGTGAAAAATAATAGCGCATCTATTGCTGAATAATTTGCCGTAATGGGACAACTTTGAATGCACACATTTATGCCTTGCATGCTGTTTCTGAAGAAGGAAAGAATGGATTTTGAGAAAAAAGGTTTGGATAACGAATAAATTGGAAAAACGTTAGAGATTGTTTGAAAAAGGCCTGTACTTAACGAAACGTGACATGTCAAACGCTAAAAAACTATTTGCGATGATTGCATGCAACACTTGGACCACGGGTGGTCTATACGCAGTGCACACAAGAAACGCAGACTACCCGCTTTGAAGCCACATTCCCTGCTATGAAATCGTCTTTTAGCGGCGTTAAAGACATAAAATTAGTTTCATATCATACTTTAGGAGCTCTTTAGAGCATGTTAAAGGCAGGTCAACTCAGAATAACGTGTTGTTCAACGTGTTTTTCAGATGCTGCAAGCCATACAAGGTTTAATCTAATCTCTTATTCGGGTTTATAGAGCCTGTCATGAAATTACAATGAAAAATGAAAGAACTGAACATCAATCATATAATTCATTGGAATATTTCCTAGGCTATTTTATTACTTTTATATTTCCTCGAGGTTAAGATTGCTCTTGGTTTGATACCCTAAGGTCGGCGTAACGTATATCCACATCATTTATGGAGCGATTAGCGATACAACAATGTATATATTGTACATACACGTTTCGCTTCAAATGACATTACAATTATAATAATCAAATYATAAGCACAAGACCAACGTCCCCTTCGGTTACAGCATCGTTATAGCACGTTTAAAGTCTATGCCGTGTGAATTATTTAGTTCCCTAAGTGGGAAAATAAATTCATCTTCTTACTGGTCGATTGGGTGTTGAGAACTGAACTAAATACGTGACAAGAATCGATTTGTCAATTAATTTTCGAATACAAACTTCACTTCCGGTCAATTAAGTTTGAAGTAGAGTCGTGATAAAAAAWTCTTGACCAGATAAAGAATGCTTTAAGTCATGAATTGGGAGAGAAATGTTTTGAAAAAAGGAATTTCTTCCGTTATCAAAGCTGTGGAAGTCGAGAGAGCAGTCACAGACTCATATCCATCAAGTTACGAGCATAACATACAGCCATAACAATATGTAAACATGTTGGGTCATTATCGCTACTGTAGAGATTAGGTTTTTGTTTAGCTTTGATATCGAGAAGTTTCTCAGTGTTTATGTAGCGTATAATTTACACAAAGATTATCAAAGTAGGCAGAAATATAGATTTATCAAAAAGTAATCTATTCTTAAAATGCAGAACAAAAAGCTTAACGAAAACTATTTATTAAGATTGACAAATTGTTAAAAGATTTGACCAAGGTGTTAATTTGAGGGAAGGAGCTTCAGTAGCGACTATCTTAAGTCATAGTAGACGACGATATTTTTCTTTTTCAGAGTTGAACTTCGATATATSATTCTTAAAACTGGCAGTTTATTTATTGAAGGTAAAATTTTAATTAAAAAAACGGAAACTGGAAAGCCATTGAGATGATTAAAATTGGGTGTTTGTTTGAATTAACAGATGGAGAAAAAGGACAGTTGATAAAACTGGAAAGCCTAATTACCGAACTTTTTTTGAGGATAAAAAATTCAAGAAATACATAACCACTAGCAAAACTAGGTTTCTTGAGAGCCATCGATTGTGTTAGCGCGTGTCTTTTAGACAAGATCTAAGAGAGAAGACACCGAAGGAAATATAGCGTTTAAAATCAGAGAGATCAATTGGTTATTATTTGAAGGTTAGTCGTAACCATATGTGAGGATTATGCCTGGACTTTCCGTTCGAGTCTAATGAAAAACAAACAGAATTCTAACGATAGTAATCGTGATCATCTAATAAAATGACGCGCGCTGTGTGGTATCCGACTCTGGTACTTTAAAAGCTTCCTAATAATTCCACAAGAGATTAGCAATGAGCTCCAAAAAGTTAAAACTATCCAGGCATGGTGATATTAWGGGCTTAGAGTCGATAAAAATTCTGATTGTATTTTAAGAGTTCTCTTGAAAGAGTTAGCGCAYGAATCTTAAACGTCGCGCGAAGATATCCTGATAAAGTGTACGAATGAACTTCGAGAGACTCCAAATCCATTTGATGACAATTTGCTTAAGAGGCGCGTCGATAAAGTACATTATATCATCAAAACCGTACAAAACTCGTACTTACCAACAATGAATATAAATGATGCCAGGACGAARCGTATGATTGAAGACCACAGTGGTTCAATGAATTGTTCCGCTTTGGGTGTAGATGTAGCATTCGTAGCTATATCCATCGACGAGTTGATCGCAGTAATCGAGTTCTCCGATGTATTGAAAAAGCTCATCTTTCCTCTTCCTCTCCTCCTCCAAAAAAAACTGTAAAAATAAAGCAATTCTTCGTTGAGTTTTCCCCTGAGCGTCACAATTCCGAAAATACCAGTCTCCGAAGAATGCCAGTCCAACGAATGCGCGCGAACTCTGTTTCCAAACAACAGACTTAGAAAGACAATCCAAGAATGAAGATCCTACCGGTAACTTTCCCGTGTATGATTCAGACTCAAAGGCCCCTCAACATACTTTCGTACGCGTAATTAGAAACTCGAGTGCTTCCCAGATCTGGGCGATAAACTGCCGATGCTAGCGCTGTTAGGGGAGCGCAAGTTTTCATTTACCGCAACTTGAAGAGGTCACTGATGAAGGAGACGTCCAATGACGCCGTATTGTTATCGATAATAATAAAACAGATCTATTATACTAACAAAACCATGTGATTGAAAACAAGCAATGATCTGTATGTCAAGGAAAATCTTAATGCATTGAAATCTGCGCTGTTTGAATTCTCAGTCTTTTGTTTGACTGTAAGAATGACACATCTCTTGGTGTCCTTTCGAACATGACGCTTGATTTTCATAACAAATAATAAAAATAACCCTTCGAATTTGTTCTTTATATTTACATTTTTATGCCCCGGTGTTAATCTGGTGATTATGACGTACCAAAACTTCAAAATGAAAGGTGGGATCTCTTTCTTCCTAAAGACAAAGCAAATGCATTTGACTATTTTACAAATCAAAGATTAACTCCAAAATGGCAAAAAATTAAAGAYGATAGAGCTAGGATAATCATTTTGTCGTTATTTCCAACACATTCTTGAGATATTAAAAAGATTTGAAGATTTGAATCAGAAATCTCTCGAGAGGTTGTTTTGRAATGCAACAATCACATTGAATATGAATAGTCGAAGCTTTATAAGTTTATTCGCGTTCACAGAAAACAGATTTCCAGGAGATTTCAATAATGCCTTAAGTAAACAAATAATAAAAGTTACCGATATGTTTACAGTTGATTCCAGCATGTTAACACATGCAAAAGTCTTTAAAAGACTATCTTAGATTAACTATTCCAAGGCGAAGCTGTTATCAAGCCGGCYTATTTTGATTGTTTTCATATGTAGAGAAATTGGACTTGGCTTTAGTATGGTTAAATATACTTTCACAAGAGCTGCTACATTTTCCTTGATTTCCGAGTTTACTCAATCTCTTTTACTAACACCGCACACAAAAGAATAAATCATAGGAAGAAGAAAAGTCTTTTCTTTAAAAAATTACTTCASCTGATCTTGAGTACTTTTACCTGCAAAAGCAGAGGGGTAGAAAAGGATCTCTGCAAGCAGTGTAGAATAATTTGGTCGTGGTCGATGACTGCAATCTTGCCATCAATGAAAACTATAGCAGTTTGTACTTTTACCAATAGTAAGTTTCATTCAATAAAACATGAAATAAAAGAGAATGTATAACACACACACACACACACATATATGTATTTGCATAATTGGGTTGCTTTTCTACGGTACTGAATGTTCATTGACTTACAACTTAACTTATAGATAGAGTTCTTTAGATAAATATGGATGGTTCAATGATATTATTCCGGCAAAGAGTTGACTTTTTWAAAGTTGTCGGATTGAATCAACTTTGATCGTCTATTAACATTGCTAGCCTTGAAACTGAAGATGATAGCTTTTGTGAATCATAAAGAGATAGTCAGATATAGTGGAAAATCTACCCTACGATTCCCATAATGCATTGGGTGAACTAAATCAAATCGTACCAACGACGGGTCGAAAAGACTGCAATTCGAAGAGATAACTCTGGTYGAAGAGAGTAAAGTCGGGCTGCACTCAAGCTATACTAAAAAGGAACAGTTCGGCTTTCCTCGCCGATCAGAACGTGAGTGATATCTTAATATAAGATTTATCGTATTATTTGCTTGGAAGATTAGGATTCTTTACGTGGTCTTACGTGGGGATTATAGTGTTTGTTTGTTATCTGTTAACCGTGGATTAGACGCATGAAATACTTTTAACCTTAGTACCAAGAGAAGTTCATTCCTAGATTAAAAGAATAATCACTGATGATCTGATGTTGTGGARTAACAACAGAAATGAAAACCAAGTAAGTAGAAGTACAAATATCTTCCCAATCTCGTACCCAGAGCCTGCGTTTCTTCTGGCTTGCGGCGAAGAACGAAGGCTCTGGCATAATCCACTTTTTGGCGCATGCGCAATTTTCCGGAAATGAAATATCAATCAATGAAAATCATGCTTTAAAACAGAGTTCTGTGTTTACTTCCGATCAAAATGAAAATTAGAAATCRGGAACAAATTTTTTGGATTTTTGGCAAGTCTTTGAACGCATGCGCTGTTATACCGGAAGTCCAAGAAATCCTGGTCTCAGAAAATGAATTATGTCAGAGCCTTCGTTTTCGCAGCCGGCCAGAAGAAACGCAGGCTCTGTGTACGRGATTGTAATCTTCCTTGCCTTACGAGGGTAGCACTTAATAGCCAGTGACTAAGTAAGAAACTTGTGGCCCTCGTTCCATGTACGAATTGGGAATTAAAAGTTGATTTTGTTGCAGAGTGAGGGAAACCGGAAAAATCGTAGAAAAACGCTAGAAGCACAGGAGAGAACCAACTAGAAACTCTACTCACATACTCATGGGGGTTGGGGGAGGGGTGAAAGCCTCTCTCTCCTTTTTGTTCTAAATTCTKTATATTAATCTGGATCGAACTTTATAATCAATCCTTATACCATTAAGGGGAAAGGCAGCGTAAACAGTTATAARAGGCAAGGAAGCGACATAGTAACGCCACAAGCGTGATAAGTAATAACACGCTAATAATCATAAATAAATGATAACAATTTTCATAGTGACGATATCGATGATGCTGRTGTCTTGGTAATGATGATCATGATGATCATAATAATGATTATGCTGGCGATGATTATAATGCTGGTAATGATAACGAGGGTGCGGTGCTGGGGGTGATGATGACGACGTAAAACTAATTATCATGCAAAATTTGTGATTGACATAAAAGACGATGAACCAACGGCCTTGGAATAACGCGCTCGCCTGCATTTAGTAGATAACTACGAGCGTCTCGTTTCGTCAAAGGTCGAGAGGAAAGCAGCGGTTTGTCTGCCTTAACCAAAGCCATATTCACTTTAATACGAACCATTTTTATTGAGCAACCATGTGTTTCTTCTGGTTCTTATCATTTCATTGATCTAAGCTTTACTAAGCTTTCTAATATTTCTTGAAGGACTAACATCAGTTTTAGCAGATCTGTGACGACCGCAAGGACTCACTGGGAATTAATTACTCATTCCACGACACAGGGAACCCAAACAAAATCTCTGTTAGTGCACAGAAAACCCAAAAGACATCTGCGTTTTCAACTACACAGTTATCATCTCTGATAACATAAACCAAAACAGGCCAAGTCTACGCATCTCATATATAAACTCAACATTACTTTTCTAAGATTAATGAAAAGTTCGTTTTCATAACGACAGCGTAGTGGGGTTAATTGATCCGAAATCTGCCTCGAGGCGAGTTCTTAATGCGATATAATTCAGCTGTCGTCCTACGCAAATGGTGCGCCGATTCTGAAAGATTATTCTCGTGATTCTAAGATACGATAACTGCGTTTATGTTAAATATGGCGTATTACCTAGCTTTACCCGAACGTATTTCGAAGCTTCTTTTTTAAGGATAAAATAAAACGATAAAAATTCAAGATGTTAGACAATATATATTTTAAAATCTCGGCTTAGTAGATAGGTTACATCGAGAAAGGTTAAAGACACTAGACACACAGATGTTTGTAATCGGTGGTCGGGTTCAAGGCGTTTATAAGTGCTAAAGTGCCAAGGCTAAAAATAGAAGAATATGTTACTAAAAACATCTAGATTATGATGATGAGATGATAATGATGATGGTGATGGAATTAGCGTGATTGCATTGCGTCAGTAATAACTGAGTCATTTACTGGAGGCATCTCATGTTACTATGGTAATAGTACGTGTAATGCAGATGATAACGATGACAAGATGATCATAACAATTGTCGAATGATTAAATAGGTATCTTACACAAAACAATGACTTGTTTCCACGGCAACTATACCGGAGGTTTTACCAATCATGCCCTTGATTGATATCAGTGATGATGATGATGATAATCAGATTGAAACGTTGTTATAATAATAATAATATGAACTTTATTTACTTTCCCCTCAATAACAAAATCACTATCGGGTAGAAAAACCAACCTCCCTGTAAAGCATATTGCATAGAAGCTGATCCCGTACACGAGAAGTAAGGTAATTAGATAAATCTTTAGATACATCTAGTGGAATGTTCATAAATTGTTGCACTGACAGAAAGACAGAAAGCATAGAGGCTTGTAACACATGTTTCAKATCGACTGTCTCACGGTCTCGCAGCTTCTATTTTCTATGTTTTCAATTTGACAATGGTTTTGCAATAGTCCCCTTCACAGTTCCCTGCGCCATCTTGAAAGGTAGCCGTGCCTGTGCACCGAAGCGAGACGAACGGTGAGCTTGTAATGATAGAGACCTTTTTTAACACCTTAGACAATTATTCGCATGTCTCTATCATTGCAAGCTCACCTTTCGTTTCGCTTCGATGCAAAGGCACRGCTACCTTTCAARATGGCCCAGGGAACTGTGAAGGGACTATTGAGTGTTTACAACTAAACGATATTTCTTATAATAAATATTTTTTWAAAGTTGTTCCCTTTGATAGCTTCATATGGATCCTTTTTACAAAAACCACAYAAAGGTTTTCCACAGGCAGGATGTAAATTCACAGTGCGTATTTACAACTATTAAATATATTGTGGTGGCATCGGGACATCAGTTCAATGACCATTTAATCGGATCAAGGTTAGATATAGTTTCTTTTAAGGCACTTGCAATACAACATTGTAAATAATTCAGCTGTCGGCTGATGCAAAATAAACATATATATCTCTATACACTGGAAGAAAGAGTATAACTTAAGTGAAAAA